TACCACACTTATCATCATTTCTCTGGCACACACACACACACTCTCTCTCTCTCTTCCATCTCTCATCTATCTCATCTCTATTTCTTACTCATCGTCTATCTTTCTCTCGCCATTTCTTTCTTTCACTCATCATCTATCTCTCCTCAGCTCTCATCTCTTTCTCCCAGTCTATCTATCTCACTCACCCCTCTCCCCATCTCTCAATCGCCCTTCATCACTCCCCATCATTTCTCATCTCTCTCTCTTTCTTTCTCTCTCTCTCTCTCTCTCTTTCTTTCTCTCTCTCTCTCTCTCTTTCTCTCTCTCTCTCTCTCTCTTTCTCTCTCTCTCTCTCTCTCTCAAACGTGCAGCTTTGTTGGAAAGTGCCTAAAAGATATACCACGCGTTAATCCAAGACTTATGAGTGAAATTGAGTAGACTGAACTATTCGGAAGCCGTCAGTTGTTGTCCTAGCACGAATTCACAAGTCATCGTGACCGAGGGTTTGCGAGTGCTGCCTTTGTTCTAACTGCCGATCATGAAAGATTATATGCTCTCTCTTCCAGAAAATTCAACTAAGATTCGCTCGGCATAGTTATGACATAAAACACATGGACTCTGTCCTTATTGAACAAACACAAATGTGCCTGAGGAGGTGTCTGCAACAGGGATTGGTCAGGCGCCCTAGCAGATTGATGTTCCAGAAGAATGAATGAGCCCCTTCTCTAATCCTAGAGAATCGCAGTAAAATGGCCAAATTCTCACCAGTCTATGTTGCTGCACGGCACGGTGGAGTAATGGATAGCGGCTTGGACTGAGGAATCGGAGAGCTGTTCGAATTCCAGTCGAATCCATTACATTCACTTACGTGCTAATACCCTTGGGAAAGGTGTGAATCCTCTTCTTCTCCCTCCAGCTATGGGTAAATAGCAGGACAGACTGGGTTCTATAGCCTTGGATGGCAACTGGTCTAGGAGAAGGAAAACTCTGAATTCAAACCTGCTCTTAGAGGAGGGTGAATGGAGTCTCTCTGAGCCTTGGTCGGCAATCCATTTCCTGATGGTGTCACGATAAAAACACCCTTGATAGCCCTAGCGAAGCATCAAGAATTCAGCTATTTGACAAGATTATGAACTACACCAATCAAAGTATTGGTGAGTTCAATCTCGGCTGTGGACGCAAGATGATGATGTTGCTGCTGCAGTTTCTCTAGCAAGTTGATTTTTATGGGGTGATGTTGCTACCTTTACACCCATTTTGTTTTATTGTCCTTCTTCTAGAATAGTTGGCAACCAAGGCGAAGGAAATCCGCCTACACTGCTATTAAACCCTGGTCGGGTAAAAGAAACTGGTTCATAACATTCGGAGGTATTTGTGCAAAAGCGAACATGAGGCAGCAATTTGAACTCGACGCGCCATCGTGTCGATAACTGCTACCCAGCGCATGCATATATATATATATATATATATATATATATATATATATATAAAATAGTTGACGACTCGTATTCGAGGATATCCGTCTATTAGGGCGGATAGCCAATCCCTATTGCAGACGCTCGCTCAGGATCATTTGTGTATGTTCAACATCCACAGAGCCAACCTGTGGTTTATACTGCAATTATGCTAAGCAAACCTTAGTTACAGTTTCTGTGAGAGAGCGTGTTATCCTGCATGGGCAACAATTTGAACAAGGCCAGAACATTCAAACCCTCGGTCACAGTGACCTGTGACTTTGTGCTAGCACAGCTATCGATGGCCCCAAGGGTTCCGTCTACCCAATTTCACTCACAAGGTTTGTGTCAACTCATGGCATGGTTTTCAGGCACTATTCAAAGGTGGTGTACGCTGGGATCGCCCGCCCACCAAGGCCGATAACATCAGGAAGTCTATTTCTGACAAATCAGTCGTGGTGAGATTCGAACCCCTGGTCTCATGATCAGAATGCAAACGTTCTAACCACTCGGCCATATATATTGTAATCATTTCGCGCCAAGCAAAGCAATAAAGCAACTAAGACACTGGATGTGAAAGAATAAGGAAATGAAAAACATTAAGAGACGAGAGAAATAAAAGAAGAGGAATCAAGAGGACAGCAGATAACGATTACATTGCATTTAAATTTTTGAAGATCGAAGTTGGCTGGAAAGTAAGAAGCCAGAAGAGAATTTTCTAAGTGAGAAGTGTGTTATAAGAAACTGTTTGCATAGAACTTACGGTTACGTGTAGCCATTTCAACTGCCTGCTGATGATACCTCGTGGATCCAGCAATACGGTTAAATTCATAAAAGACGGGTAACAAAGAGGAAAGCTCATCAGAAAAATTACCATTTATAGAAAAGGCACCGAGAAATTATGTTACGGCGGTGAGAATGTGACTGAAGACAAAATGCCAGGTCAGGACCAATAAAATTGCAAATTCTTCTTGGTATTTTATCAAGAATCTATAAATATATAACAGAAGCACCAAACCAGATAAAAAGTAACAGAAGTGCAAGAAAAGAAACTGTTAGCAAAGAATTTACGGTTGCATCTAGCTAATTGTTATAGTGGAACACACCTATTTTATAGTTAATAGACTCTCCCACCTATAATAAGTAGGAGTAGTAGGAGTCGCTCAGTGAGTTGGTCAGTCAGTCGACTGGCTGATCGGTTGAACTCTCTGCCTTCGGGCGGGGAGGAACCCGAAGGAGGCTACGCCGAAGGGCGGGTTCTCTTTCGGGGAGGTAAACCGACCCTGAACCCGTTTATACGGGTTCAATGGGCATATTTTTGGCCGAGCCCACGGGCTCGGAGATCCCATGTTAAACCGGCCTTGTGGCACATGATTCCCTCGTGGTGGGGGTGACTAAATATCGTTGGTCAGTCAGTCAATGCCGGACGACCGTTAGTCGGATACTAAAGTATCAGCGACCACCACTAGATTTCTCTGCGTTATTACCTCTTATATCAATTTCCTAACGTTTTGTACATCGAACCTATTTTAGGACCGACTTAGTACAAATACAAGCCTCCACTGTGAAATCACTCCATAACACTAATTTAGTTCTAAAATAACCAGACACTTTTTCCAATCTAGTACTGCGCTTAAAATTCATAAAGTCTAGGTACCATAGAGAAAAATTCACAGAACAATTACAATGAAAGTATTTATAGAAAAGACACAAGGAAGCTATCTTACAGCTGTGAGAAAGTGACTAAAGCCAATATGCTAGGTTAGGACCAATAACATTGCTAAATCTTATTTGGATTTTATCAAGAATCTCTAAATATATAGCAGAAGCACCAAACAAGATAAAAAGTAACTAAAATAAGTTTTATATATATATATATATATATATATATATATATACCATACGCCTCTGTGTTTATTATTTAATAATGAAGTGTGTATTAACCCACAGTGTTGAGATAAAAAGAATCAATAATAAGATGATTTTTTTTTAATCATTTCACTCCAAGGAAGGCAATAAAGCCACTAAGATGCAAGGAATTACTGAGTGTTAGAGAATATGAGAAAAATACTATTAAGAGGAGAGAACAATAGAAGAACAAGAATTAAGACAGAAGATATCAATTGACATTACATTTAAATTTTTGGAGGTCAAAGTTGATTGAAAAGCAAGAAGCTGGAGGAGAGTTTCACTTTTGAGAAGTGTGATAAAAGAAACATTTAACATAGAACTTGCAGCTACATATAGCCATTTCAATTGTAAAATGAGACTGAACTGCCAATCAAGTACTGCTCTTAAATTCATAAAGTCTAGGTACCATAGAGAAAAGTTCATCAGAACACTTAGCATGAAATTATATATAGAAAAGGCAAAGGGGGATACATTACAGCGGTGCGAGTGTGGCTGAAGCCGGAATGCCAGGCTAAATATATAGCAGGAGCACCAGACCATATATGACAATAATATCCAAAGCAGGAACGAATAGGTTGAACAGTTAATTTAATTTCATTTGTTATTATACTACCCGTGATCGGTTGGGTCACTGACGGTTCAGGTTATAAAACATTAAAGTTGATTTCAACGTTCCATTGAAATAAAAGTTAATTTTATTATGATTCAGTTAAATATTTCAATTCGTTCATCATTAGTCTGGTTTACAAGTTCATCTTTATCATTTTACTGATTGTTTACAGCATTTAAGAGGAATAGAACTTCCGGGATAAACTTTTGATTTTAATTTTTTAAATATGTCAAAAAATATTTTTTAAATATTTAAAATATTGTTTGCTTAAAGGAAGCTAAAATATAAATAATTACTCTACTAATAACTAGACGAAACGGCAAACCGGGATCTCTTTGCGTTTGTCTTTAACTTAAAAATATATTAATTACAAAATTGTATATTTGAAGAAAGTTAAAATACTTACTGTATGAACAAATCGTATTTTTAAATCTTATTCACTTAAAATAATTTTTAAATCAGATTAACTTAAAAATATTTTTTAAATATTTAAAAATATTGTTTGTTTAAAGAGGGCCAAAATATAAATAATTACTTTACAAATAAATAGATGAAACAGCAAAGCGGGATCTCTTTGTGTTTGTCTTTAACTTAAAAATATATTAATTAAAAAATTGTCTGTTTAAAGAAAGTTAAAATAAAAATATTTACTGTATAAACAACTCGTATTTTTAAATTTTATTCACTTGAATCAGATTAACTTAAATCATTAAGCGCCGGACGAACACACCACACAAGCATGCAAAGATGCACGCAATAACAGCCTTTTACTATTATATAAACAGATCTGTGTGTGATTGTGAGAGAGTTGAAAATCTCTTTATTCTTTTATCCATCTTTTTATCATCCTTTTTTAACCTTGTGGACAAGCGCAACAGAATCACAAAGAACTGTACCAAATAATATAGTCCACATCACATGAGGACTACCAACAGCAGCAACAACTAAAATGGATAGCACATGTAACTAGAAGAGAGAACGGCGTAATCAAGATGCTGTTGTCGTTCCACACTACATCAAGCAAAAAGAGCTGATGGCTGTAATACGTTTAAACACCGATTCCCGTGCGATAGCTGAAGTCAAGCAACGTCTAGCCTGGCCAGTACCTAGATGGATGAGTACTTGGGAATACCTGGTGCCGTAAGCTAAGATGTGTGGGTGGTGTAATGGATAATGGCTCGGTGTTGTTAATCGGGGGTCTGAGTTTCAATACCCGTTGGGCTCGTTATATTAACTTACGCGCAAATAGCCTTAAGAAAAGTATGAAGCCACCTCTTCGGGTTAATTAATAAGATTTGTAAAACTAAATCATAATTATCTCCAAAAAAATAATCTTACAATCTAAAAACATTTTTTGGCATTAAATAACCTTCAATAATCAAAGAAATGGTTAGGAAGAGAACCTCCATCGATACTAAAAAGAGCTGAAAAATTCTAAGAGAAACATTATATAATTTTTAATCGGCAGTCACACTAGCAATGAATGCCAAATGTATCTTAAGTTTTAGTTCATGGAATCGGCTACCATTACTAATGCTATTATCTTTCTTAAACTCAAACAAAAACAATTACAGTTTGCCAGCCACTGCCGTCGAGCGGACAGAGAAATCGTCTCATCCTTACTCTTATGGCATCCTTCTGGAATGTCTTCTCACGGGAATTGACTTTTCCAGACATCATAGCCCGGGAATCAGGTTTGGACATTAGGGATCTGGGGACAGCAATGCATGACTGAACAATGTGGAAAGGAATTGTCAATTAAATTCTAACCAACCAAATGGAGGTCGAGGAATAAGTATGATGAATACTATTATTATCTCGTTATCTTATATATAAAGTACAGGGCATGTATGTGCGTGTGTGTGTCCAAGCAACTCCTCCACTCCCACTGGTTTGATTTCAATGATTCATAGCTTATTCAAAAGCCCTGCAAAAGTTAGGCTCAGGGAACTATTTTCGTTGCGCTCACATTCAGCATTGCCAGATTATGCGAGGTTAAAAATATATATTAATATATTATACTATCCATTATCGTTGCTTTCATGGTTCAAGGGGATTAAGTCTTATTTTCCTTTTGTATCCCAAATTGCAGCTAGCTTAAAATTTTCAGCTAGCTAAAATTTTAAGCTAGCTTAAAAACCGCTCTGTCGGTCGGCATTTTAGCTAGCTCTTGTGGAGGGCTGTTTGTTTGGCAATATCACAATAGCTAGGGAGGGGTAGATGTGATAGGCATGAATAAACTACAGAACTCAAAATTGATCACTGCATTTAAGTATTGAATTAATGTTTAAGCTGACCTTTTAAAAGTTCAACGATAATTCTTCTGTTGCCACTTAATTTAAAGACAATTTAATGTACGTAGGTCCTTATTTTCCGTATCAAACAATTATTCTTATTTCATGGGTGACAGAACAGGGGACAATTTATAAGATAAAATTAATATAGTTTGAAGATGGGAAAATAGAAATTAGAATTAGTTATACGTTCAACATTTGAAGAGTTAAAGAAACATAATAGCTAATTAAGTAAAAACTACATTATGGAATTTATATTAATATATGGGAATTTGGATCTCAATTTTCCGAGAATTGCGAGATTATAAAGCCCCAGTTCTATTTTTTAGTAATTTGGTATTTACTCGACCCCTCACCGAGTCGCGTTGAGACACAAGGTCGGTTTAATGTGGGGAGTCCGAGCGCGCACACACAGGTTAAAAGCAAAAATTCCCCGAGCCCACAAAACATGCGGTTCCGCTAGCCTCGGTGCGAGCACCAATCCCTCTCTCTAGTTCAATGAGAGGGCGCGGCCTCAGGCAGCTCTTCCCCAGGGCCGATACCTCTCACTATAATTTTCCTCAGTTGCGACTCCGTCCTTCGATGTAACCGCCCCTGATCGCACTCTGCTCAAAGACAGAGAAGTAACTGAGAAATTATAAACAATGTGTGACAAACTACTTTAGAGTGATTTCTATTTACTCAACCCCTCCATAAGTTCAGGGTGTGACACGAGGTCAGTTTCATGTGGGGAGCCCGATCGCGTAAACCCGGACTAGGAACAAAAATTGCCCTAGCCACAGCAACCGTCGGTTGTGCTGGCCGCAGCACGAGCACCAATATCTCTCTCTCTCTCTCTCTCTCTCTCTCTCTCACTCACTCACTCACTCACCACACACACACACACACACACACACACACTCTCTATCTCTCTCTCTCTGGTGCAATAAGAAGGCGCGGCCTTGGGCTGCTGTTACCCACGACTGGACACCTCTCAGTATAATTTTCCTCAGTTGCCACTCTGACGGAGCAGACCCTGAGCGCACACTGCCAAAAGAGGGAGATGGAACTCAGAGATAATAAATAGGATGTTACAAACCACTCGTGGGAGAGATTGAACTACTTGACTCACCACTGAGTCAGTTTTTGACATAAGGTAAGTTTTTAACGTGGGAATCCGAGTGTCTTCACTCGCTCAGCTGGTCAGAGCTGGTCTAAGCACGTCATAGCAGGTCGAAGCTGGTCAGAGCCGGTCCAAGCTAGTCTTAGCCGTGATACTACCAGCGCAGTGACGAATTCCTACTCCCGGCCAGTATCAGAATGTGTATACCACTCGAGGGAGGGGTTTACACGCTAGGTATTTACTCCGTCTCCCCACTAAGACAAGTTGTGATACAAGGTCTTTTTAAGGTGGGGACCTGAGCGCGTACGTCCGGGCAAGGAACAAAAATTGCCCGCAGCCCCGGCAACCGTCGATCGATGTGGCCTCGGTGCGAGCACCGATTCCTCTCTTCGGTGCAATAAAAGGGCGCGACCTCGGGCAGCTGTTCCCCAGGGCTGGGGGCACCTCTCAGTATAATTTTTCTCAGTTGCGACTCTGTCCTTTGACAGAGTCGCCCCTGAGTGCACTCTGCCCAAAGACAGAGATGCAACTGAGAAATGATAAATAGATGTGTTACAAACCCCTCGAGGGGGGGGTTACATACAAAAAGCTCAATATCTGTATTGTGTATTATCTACTTCTAGGCAATACCACTCTTCATGTTTTACTAATTTTCATATTGATTTTAAAAAAGGTTATTTCATGAATTAACTGTCCTTCATTACTGTTCTTTTATTCAAAGATTGTTTGGATTTTCATATCAAAAATAGTTCTGTTTAGGAATATTGTCTTATATAGTGCAGAAAAATGTTTGAAATTTGCATTTTACTTGGCGTTCAACAAGTTGGCATCTATTCGTAAAACTTTCCTTAACTATAACAAGCCAATTTATGAATGAAATATTCATTTACAAGTAGTGAATATATCTTATTTTGCGAAGTGATAGCGAGCAGGCAAAGCGATAGTGAGCGAGCGCAGCCTGCTAGTTTACTATAAAAATGCATTGTAAATGATTTTATTCGAGGAAATATTAGAAAGAGCTATAACACTTAGTGTGATTGAGACGTCTAATTTCCTGAAAAAATACATAGAAAAATGATTTTATTCGAGGAAATAATATTAGAAAGAGCTATAACACTTATTGTGATTGAGACGTCTAATTTTCTGAAAAAAATACATAGAAAAATGATTTTATTCGAGGAAATAATATTAGAAAGAGCTATAACATTTAGTATGATTGAGACGTCTAATTTCCTGAAAAAAATACATAGAAAAATGATTTTATTCGAGGAAATAATATTAGAAAGAGCTATAACATTTAGTATGATTGAGACGTCTAATTTCCTGAAAAAATACATAGAAACATGATTTTATTCGAGGAAATAATATTAGAAAGAGCTATAACACTTAGTGTGATTGAGACGTCTAATTTCCTGAAAAAAATACATAGAAAAATGATTTTATAATTTTCAACCGACGATAACAATGAATGGTAGGTTGATGAATGGTTGATGTTTCCTGTATGGAAACGGCTAATTTTGCCATTATATTCCCAGCGGAATTATTAACATACGCATCGCTTTGTGGTCAGCGATCTGCATTGATGGCTAAAAAGTACTCCTGTATTATTTGCGCTCTAGATTGCACAATAGGGCCAACTCACTATTTATCCAAGACTCGATATGAATAATATTTTGCCCCTGGTTGTCTAACATCAAATTATAATTCAGGGTTTCATTTAAAATGACGGATATCCGATTGAATGAATCCTGTAAAGGACGTTAAAATTTGAAGTCAATCATTTGAATGGTTTGTCCACTGGATGTTCCTCATAGACAAATCACGATTACTCAAATATCGCACTTAAACCTAGTACGAAGTAGACAGTAGCTACATGATTAGGTTATGAGCCTATGCTTGATGGGGTTTCAATGTAGGCGTTGATATTTAGAGCTCCTTGGAAATGTCACAGATTCGAGTCGTCTGGCAATTCCAATATACGTTCTTTTACTCTTGATTTTAGGATGTTTTTTAATCGGTATCAACCCATGCGCAACAATAATGCCAATAAGACACAAAAGGTTGCTGGGTGTAGAAGAATTATGAACAGAAACATTATTAATAAATACGAAGAGGAGCGAGTCATCAGGAGGGCAGTAGTTAGCGATTGACATCGTATTTAATTTTTTGTTTTTTAAAGTTAGCTGGGAAATATGTAGCCGGAAGAGAGTTCCACAAGTGAGAAGTGTGAGTAAAGAAACTTTTACGGTTTATAGGCACAGAGAGGCAACCGTACGGCGGTGGGAAAGTGACAAAAGCCGAGCCACCAGAATTCGTTTTTTTAATCGGCATCACTCCATGCAAGACAGTAAAGCCAATAAGACACAGGGGGTTACAGAGTGTAGAAGAATCATGAACAGAAACATTAATAATAAGCTGGAAGAGGAAAGAGTAATCAGGAGGAAAATCGATAGCGATTGACATTGTATTTAATTTTTTGCTGATTAAAGTTGGCTGGGAAACATGTAGCCGGAAGAGAGTTCCACAAGTGAGAAGTGCGAGGAAAGAAACTCTTAGCACAGAATTTACGGTTACATCTAACCAGCTCAACTCTAAATTGATGAGATCTCGAGGCCATTCTAGTATTGCTCTTAAATTAAAAAGTTAGGTCCCATAGCAAAGAGCTCATCTGAAAAATTACCCTGAAAGTATTTATAGTAAAGGCAAAGAGAGGCAACCTAATGACAATGTGAAAGTGACTAAAACCAAA